CTTTCCAGTTCACCAGATCATCCAGTCAGATTGATTCAAAGTTTTCTATCTAAGGAAAACCAGCTGATTGCATCGACTCATTGACTCTAGAATAGAATATAACAGAAAAGAATAGAATAGAATAGAAAAGAATAGAATAGCATAGAATAAAACAGAAAAGAACAGAATAGAATACATTAGAATAGAATAAAACAGAATAGAAAATAAAATAATAGAATAAAACTGAATAGACTAGATTAGAAAAGAATACATAGAATAGAATAGAATAGAAAAGAATAGAATAGAATAGCATAGAATAAAACAGAAGAGAACAGAATAGAATAGCATAGAATAAAACAGAAAAGAAAAGAATATAATACATTAGAATAGAATAAAACTGAATAGAGTTAGATTAGAATCAAATACATAGAATAGAATAGAATAAATAGAATAAAATAAATAGAATAGAAAAGAAAATCAATTTATTGTCCCACACTTCTGGTGTTTACAGCAGCAAAACATTATAGAAAAAATGTTCACACAAACTCGGACCTTAGAAAAATGTAGAAGAATAATAGTGAAAAGTAAAAAAAAAAAATACAGAACTTTTAGTGTTTTAACAATATCAAACTGTTCACCTGAAGAATAAATAACCAATATGCAGCTATGGACATTTTTACAGTAATGGATATTTGAAAATAGCAGCAACATCAGAGATGTTGAATTCTATATTAGAGTGTCCCCTTCATTTTATTTTGTATTTTTTGGTGCAGTGTGTTTTAATTTAAAAGTAAGTGTATATTCTGTTTCCCCATAAGAAAATCCAAAGTGTTCTTCTGTATTTTAAACCTGTTTCCTTTGGTTTCAGGCCTGAAGTTGGGAAAATGAAACTCGGGTCCTGCTTTTGGTTTCCATTCCTGCAGCTTATAAAAGCCAACCGGTGCCCTGCTCTGTGGAGGCAAGAAGAGAAGGCTCCTATCCACAGTCTGCTTCTGGTAAGTAAGGAAAAAAAATCTAAAATCATCGTCTTTATTAACTGAATGTTTGGGAACCAAAAAAAAAAAAATGTCCTTAAGGTCAGCCTGGGCATTTTTTGAATACTTGTGAGTGAGCACTTTCAGGTCGGATCCTGAAATGAGGGAAGATGGAGGAAATGAGGTGTGCTGATGACTGGTATACCCGCACTAATCTGATTTGTTCAGTGTGGATGACTCTTGAGCCAGTGTGGGAAAATATTTCTCTAAGACCTTAAAGGCATCATAAAAATGACCTTGTGTGCAGCGTGGCACACACCGTGCTCCTTAGGCTCTCCAGTCAGCCTCAGCGCTCCGCTGCTTTAGCCTCACTGGGGACTCGGGGTCATTTCTGCTCAGTTATGCCTGATTCTGCTAAAACTTATAACACCTTCCCTTTGACAGAGGTGAGTTCATTTAGCTCTGAAGTTAATTGCTAATTTTGACTTTAATAATACAGTAAATATCAGGTTTGTGTGTTTTCAATGAGGTTAATTTAGTTTTGCTTTAGTTGATGGGTTCAGCTGGATGCTTTTCTCTGTAAACCTGAACCATGCTTGTGTTTGTTAGGTTTCTGTTTCCTCTCTTGGCGTCTCTCACCACCACAGAGGGACGAGGTCCAAACTGTGGAGCTCTGTTCTAAAGATGATCCCTTACACAACGCTCTGCAAGTTTGGTATTTACAGCCACATAAAGACAAAGATGTTACCTTCAGACCAGACATCATTATCTTCACAGCTCATTCATTTGTGATCTTTAACATTAGGAAGGCAAAGTGAAAGTTATGAGCCTCTTTCAGGGTTTCAAACGGATGATTGGGATTGTTTATGTCTCTGTCAGCTCCTCTGGTTCTGGTTGGGGTTGTGGTTTTGGCTGCAAGTGGGACTACAGGGGATCCTCTCTCTGAGTGCCTTCAGGACACCGACTACAGCGAGCTCCTGGACATCATGATGAGAGGTCTCCCCTCTGCTGAGACGCCTCGGCACGTGGCGGTGATCGGCGGGGGCATGGCTGGGCTGACTGCTGCCAAGGTCTTAGAAGAAGCTGGACATAAGGTGATTTATACAGGGAACTGTCCAATACCAGTGCTTATATGTTCCCATAACATCGCCATGGTGATAAAGACCATTATGTTTTCCTGTCGATGAAAAAGGTGACCATAATAGAAGCCAGTGGGCGAATCGGAGGACGGGTGGAGACCTTCCGGAACAGAAAAGAAGGCTGGTATGCAGAGGTGGGAGCTATGAGGATCCCCAGCTTCCATAAGTGAGTAGGAGAGAAACAGGCAGTCAACTGTAGCTGTGACATACAGCGCATGTACAGGATAAGACAATGGAAGGAACTATTGTGGATCAATTCTATTCAGTTTATTTCTATAGCGCCAATTCACATCATGTCATCTTAAAGCACTTTCCAGTTCAACCAGATCATCCAGTCAGATTGATTCAAAGTTATCAATCTAAGGAAAACCAGCTGATTGCATCGACTCATTAACTCTTCAGCAATCCCTCACACTAAGCATGCTTGTAGCGACAGTGGAGAGGAAAAACTCCCCTTGAACAGGAAAAAACCTCCAGCAGAACCAGGCTCAGTGTGAGCGGCCATCTGCTGAGGCCCACTGGGGTTCAAGGAGACAGAAGCAGACATAGAAAAAGAAGCATAGATACAAAAGGCAACTGTCAACCAGCTCCACAGGCGGCCCCGTCCAGGAAACACACAGCCAGGCAGACGAGCTCCGAGCCAGCTCCCATGTCAGAGGATGAAGAGAGCACATCCAGTTAGTCACAGTCAGAGAAACAGGACCACACTGGAAAACAGGCCAAGCTCCAGATACTTGCTGCAAGCAAAGATCACGTGTTGTAAATGGAAATATGAAAAAAAGCAACTTAGAAAAACTTTTTAAAAACTCAAGAGAAGTTTTTTAGGACCAATTTTCTTAATCATATTTTTCATATTTTATTCTTAAAATTTCCCATTTTTAGATTAAGTTCTACCTATTGAATTGTTTGTGCTTCCTTCTGGAATGGGAAGTAAAGCCGCTTTTCTGTTGGTTGCCGAAGATTTTTAATGGTCAAGCGTACGCCCGCCTACAGGGGGGGGACAGGGGGTCAATTGTCCCGGGCCCAGGACAGAGGGGGGCCCAAAATTGACACTCTGACACATATATTATTGGCAGGATTAATTTTTCAAAAAATATTTGTGATAAGATATACTATTTAATATTAGACTAACTAAATATATAAATATATGTGCATTAGGTGTAGGTAATATGTTTTCTTTAAATAAGGGGGCCATTAGAACCCCCCCACCTGACATAAAATGGTTTGACCAGGACAACGGCAGGCTGGAACTTCTAAAGTTCGTTTCACTACAAACTAAGAATGTCAGGTGTTCAGAAGTCTGGTGCACAGTAAAAAAAGAGAAAAAGGGACGATGACACCAAAGGCTGGAGAGAGTTTAGGGGTAAATATCAAAAATAAACTGAGGAGGAGTCAGGAACAGGTCCAGGAACAGAGATGGTGCAGAGGGGGGCCCAAAAAGACTGTGTTGTCTCAGGCCCTAACAAAGCTGTCAGCTGGTCTGGTCAAGAATTTAATTAATCTGGAAGTAAAGAGGAAACGGTCTGTAAAACACAATGTGAAAAGAAACTTAAAAGAATTTTAAAAAGTGGGGGGAAAAAAAGAATAATTTGAAAAAATACAAACTGAAAAAATCCTTTTAAAACATTTTTTCGACTGATATGTTTTCAAAGTGTCATTTTTGGGTTGAATTTTTTTCTTAAAATTTTGAGAAAGGTGTTCTTTGTTTGCAAGAATAACGGAACAAAATTCACTCCCTTTACAGGAATCCTGACCCTATTTAGTTACACTACATGCATTATGCATGATGACTAGGTCTGGGTATTGTTCAAAAGTTTTAGGTGCCGGTACCAATACCGATACCTTCACTTCGATACCGGTTCCTGAACAATACTTTTTTTGATACCAGTTTTATAATATCAATTCGAAGAAAAAGAAAATTACACAACATAAAAAAGTACAAATCTTGAGTTTTATTTGATTTTTTTCTTGATTTTTCCATTTACATTTTTCCTCTTACATAATTGTTTTTCAGTGAAGAAGAACTTTTGCAAACAAGTCTGTCTAATATTCACTGTTACACTGTGAGGACCTTTTTACTCAGCAGTTTTTCTTTAGAAAAATTAACATATCTGCTTTCTCAGGAGAAAAACAAGCCTGTTGAATGGGTTTCCTACTGTCGGTGCACCGCTGCTATGTGGAGGTCTGAGCGGCTCCGACAGAAATAATATTGGAAGGCAGGATGAACTGACTGCACTGATTAAGTTTCAGGTGGATTTTCTCACTTAAAAACATATTAAAACTACTTTATTCCCACTGATCACAGCAAATATAGCTGCAAGGCAGAGAAAGGATAGAGTAGCTCCGCCCAACGCGCGTCAGACACACTTTTGCACCGCGTAGCCAGAGCAGCAACGCTGCTTCAGCCACGCGTCAGAACTAACTGGTACAAGCAGCAAAAAGGAAGCAGCAGACACGATTTTGCTGCTCCTGCTGCGAGTAACCGAGCAACTTTCTGCTCTTAAATTGTTTCCTTGCACGATGTATTGCATTGCGCACTATTGGCATCAGTCTTAA